AGGGCCTAAATAGCTTGGAGAGCTTGAGCCAAGTAGAAGATGCTTTGGAGGGACTTCAATGCCCTATGACTAGGTCAAGGGTTAAGAAGACCAAAGAAGTCATAGGTAAGCTTGTGGACCTAGTAAGTCATCTTGGGCCCAAATCCATAGAAGGTCACACATTGAAGAAATATTCTTATTTCTCTTATATCATTCATGATTCTTATGTCTCATAGTGTATTTTGTAACTTTGGGCTTTTGCCTTCTTGTATAGTTGGGTCTAGCCTAATAGCTAGTGTAGCTTGTTGCCTATATAAGGCACTCTTCCTTTGTATTTTGGAGAACTTTAGTTCATTTTTCAGATTTTATGAAATCTAATAAGTTTTGTGAAAATTTTTTTTTCTCTCAAGTGATTTAGGTAGAGAACTTGAGTTTACTTTTTATTGGTAGATCCTTCCATCATGGTGAAGATCATGTAGCTTACTCCTTTTGAGAGTGGTACCAATTTCCTTCTCATTCTTCTACTTTTTCTTAAAATTTCTTTTACGATTGCATTGTTCTTCAAAGAATCAAGGATTAGTGATTAAAGTTGCTCTAGGAATGATCCGCACATTCAAAGGAATCAAGGAATTCCTACATCAACCCTACGTTCCCACCTCAGTAATAATCTGCACAGCATCATGTGGTACAATCAAATGAGAAAGGCCAAGAGCACATTGATGCAAATGAAGAAGGAAATGGAGAATAAGGTCAAGAAGCAAGGGAAGAAGTAGAGCAAGATGAGGATCATGCTACAACTAATGAGGGTGATCATATTTAACTCTTGTAAGGGGAGAAGTATGTGCCAGACATAATTACTTTAGACACCTGAAAGCCTAAATTAAGACAATGCTTGTTTTTAATTAATCTTAATATGCTATTTTGTAATGGATAACAATTGTAAATTTTCATTTTGAATACTAACTTTCATTAATGGAATGGAATGTAGTATTTATCCAATATGTTTTCCTTATCCTATTTTGGATATTCAATGTATTTATCAAATGTGTTTTCCTTTCATGAATGGAATTTTGTTTTCCTTGTATTTCAACCTTGCATGCATGTCTATTTTTGCCTAATTTTATCATTTTTTACATCATTTACTTAAGAGAATCTCAATTTGTTGCATTTTAGCCATTTTGGCATTCGCTTAAGTGATTATAAGGTCACTTAAGCAAATGACAGGCCTCAAATTTATTGTTCTTTGTCTCAAATTTACTTAATTTTAATTATTTTCGCTTAGACAGGCTTAAGCGAAAGCAATTTTGCGAGATAACCTTAAAGACTTCTCCTCTCTCACTTAGGCGAGATTCACACACTGTCAAGCGAATCTTTGCTTGCATAAGTAGAGTTTTTAGTGCTTAAGTGAATTTTACTTATTTTTGCTTAAGCAAGACAAATTTTACTTGACAAAAAATGGATTGCAGGCTCATATTCACACAAAAAATATAGAGTATTTGTATCCCATAACCAATGGCCTATATCCCATCATTGGTGCTAATTGATTCTGACTAGGGGTGTTCACAGGTTTGGGTGACTCAATGAACCTAACTAATCCAACTCAATCCAATTAAAAATTAATGAGTTGTTCAAATAGATGGGCCAATTTGGGTAAAAATATTATAACCCAATTAAGTATAAGTTGAGTTACGAGTTGTAAATGTTAAAACTCAACCCAATTCAATAACCCAATGATCCACTGCATTTGAACTCATGTTAATGGCCTAAATTACTTTCAATCTTTTAGAGTAACCCAAAACCCTATTTCTTATCCTAGTAAGTGAAATGGAATCCTAATTTCCAATTTTTGTTATTCACTTCTTCTCTCATCTCACGTTTCTAGTTTTCCCTTTTTTGCGTTCCATTATGGTGTCGTGGCTGCCACTTGTTGCCTCCTCTAATTTCAAGCTCCACCATGACTCGACTTTGCATCTGAGTGTGATTCTGTGTTATGACATTATTTTAACTACATTTTAATCATGTGTTGTTAGATATGTTTGATGTTTCAGGTCTTGAACATATTGACATTGATCTTACTTTCTAGTTTTTCCAATAAGATAATTATATAATTTACTAATTAATTTTTGTAATTATAGAAGATGTTATACTCTTAATTTTTTATTTAACTTCATTTGTTTTTATATAATGCATCCTCTCAGGCTTTTAACTTTGAGTCCTTTCAATTTGTTTTAAGTGAATAATTAAAGATTGACAAATAATTTGAATATCTTGAGTATAATTTATGAGAGGTTGTCGAAGTTTGTTTTTTATTTTGTAATACTTTAACTCTTTATTTTAGATTAATAGTACTATGCTATGTCTTAAAATGAATGATTTTTCATTTTATTTGAATAAATTTATTATTTGAGATATTGAGATTAGACCATCAATCATACATATTATTTTAATTTCCAACTTGACTACACAACTCATCCCGTGGTTAGGTGAAAAAGAAAAAGTCAAAATCAACCCAACCCAACTTATAAAATTTTGATTATTTTTTACTACAAAACTCACCCAACTCAACCCACGAACAACCTTAGTTTTAATTCCGAGCAAAGGATTTTAGTGTTGATTGATTATACTGTATAAGTCGTTAGTGCAAGGTTCTATAGCAATTAGCGGTTTATAGGAATGGATGAATGTAAGCTTCATAAAGGAAGATGACTTCTTGAGAAAGATGATGTCAATGGTCGCATGGTCGTGAAGTTTTGCATTAAATTTTCTCATATTAACTATAAACTCAAACTACAAGCACCTCTCATCAAACTTTAACCACACAACTTTCACCCTCCCACTGCTGACATTATTATCACAACTATTTAAGTCAACTCCTGTATGCAAACTCAAGTCACAGTCGTAAACAATCACAAACTGAATTTTTTTATTTTTTTTTTGTCAAAATAAGATATATTGAAATAAAGTATATATAAAACATTTTTTCTATTTAAATTTTTTATTGCCATATTACTATAATATCGGTTGTGAAAGAGTCAATACTTATTTTTTTAATAATAAAAAAGAGTGTCAACTTTTATGTAGTCTACACTTATTTTTTTAATAATAAAAAGAATATCATTTATATAAAACTGATACTTATTTTTTGAATAATAATTTTTTTTATATAACCTCAGCTCTTAAACCTGAGTTTAAATATCGGTAAATAAAAAAAATTTATGAAAAAAGTACATAGTTATTATATTGAAATTATAAAAATATAATAAATATTTTTTAAATAAATTTTTATTATTAGTTGTTTATTTTTAATCTTAAAAACTGAGCTTAATAAAATTGATAAAAAAAATAAGTATCGACTGTGTAGAGCCGACAAACAACACACCCTAATTCCAACAAAAGTAGTTGCATTTGGAACAACTCCTTGAAATAACATCGAGCGAAAGAGTAAAATTGCCTCAGATCCCAGTCCATGATATGCATACCCATTTGTAAGAGCTGTCCATGCTGTTACATTGGGTGAAATAATGCCGTTGAAAGACCTTTGAGCATCACCCAGGTGAGTGTCAATTATATAAAGGTTGATATTTTCTTTTTATTGTTAAAAAAATAAGTATCGATTATTTTACAGCTGACTCTTACAATGACGACGTGATAAAAAATACTTTAGACGGAAAAAATAATACAAGTGTCAATTATATAAAGGTTGGTATTTTCTTTTTTATTATTAAAAAAATAAGTATCAGCTATTTTACAGCTGACTCTCATAACGTGATAAAAAATACTTTTGAATGAGAAAATAATTCATATATACTTTATTTTGATAATTTTTTTATTTTTATCATATTTTAGAAAAAAAAAAAAAAAACCTCACAAATCCCAAAAATAGAACCTCCAAGCTTTTATCAAAGTTACCACTGACAACTACCATTCCAAAGCTGCAAGTAATCTCCGTTGCTGAGCCTGAAGACCACGGTGACATTGCAAAAGTCACCTTTCGCCACCATGTACATTGTCGTTTTTACTTTCATTAATGACCCCTTCTCTTTCTCTATTTCCAATGAACCTCAGCTACAACCCTTTCCTCCTGAATGTGTTAGAGTGGTTTGCAATTACAAAGTATTAAAAATAATTTGTTTTTAATATTGGATTAATTTTTTAGCAATGTTACAAGTATTTTAGACCGCATAAGAAGGGTACCGAAACCCCAAAACTGACAGGCTAGCTTGACCTAACCTGGTTATTATAGAAGCACGCACAGCTCACTCACTCTTGCGAAAACAAAACTCTGAATGAAATCAGCAATGGTATCAACAATGGGTATCTGACATTATAGAGAAATAGGTATCTGACACATTTTATTTGTGACAATTCATTCTATGTAGTTGTGCCTGGTGTGTGATTCGTGTTGAATCTTGGTGTATGTCTCTCTGGCTGATTGATTTTATGTTGTTGTGTTATACAGAATAGATGCAGTTTCGGACCGAGATTTTGTACTGGAGTTTCATTCTGCTAATGCTATCACAGCGGTGCATCATTCTCGGCTTGGTGAAGAATGGGGTATTGTGGGCTCCGGAGGAATTTGGATTTATCACGCCAAGCAATTCTGTTTCAACTAGAAATAGTATAAACTATTATCACATACATTTCGTATGGAGACAATGATTTATACTTGATGGAATTATGTTGGCCCACGTGTTGTGTGATTCACCATATTATGAATTTGAGCCTTCATTTGTTAAAATATACGTTTTTTGTGATCCTTTGCAACAAACCAACCTTGCAATTTTACGATTTTAGGATTTGTTTATTTATTTTCTTTTAAAAGAGCCTATCAATTTAATTAATGAATATACTTTACATAAGTAAAACTTGTTTGAAATATGTTATCTCGCGTGGAGTGTGGGGTTGGGGGAGAGTATTGAATCTATATTAACAAAAGTACACTGTCATGATAATAATGTTAATCATATCATACCATATAATTTACATTTCTGCTCAACCATTATGATTTAACTATTTTTTCCAATCAACGCATCAGAACTCTTTCTGACTTTATATTAAAAGCTACCAAAAATTCATACAGCATGCTGAAATTACTGTCAACAGGTAAGGTAAAATGCATGAACCTCATAACTTCAAGGCAAGGCATATTTCATTCTGAAACAACCTATCCAGTAACCCTGATTGCTAACAACTAACGCTCCTACAGATTTCACATATTTAAAGACATCAAGACAATAATTTCATGACAATTGAAAAAACCTATCCAGTAATCTTCACTTCATGTCAAGGTTTTTCTTCCAATAATTGAGTTGGCTGGCAACACATGCTGATCCAGTAGAACCATAAGAGCTGAATTTCTGGATCGCATTTTCTACTCCAAGAAATTCATACACATCGTTCTCAAAGGCTGGATATATATTTCTCAGCTCACCAAGACTCAAGTCCAGCAGTTGGCAGTTCTTCGATGTACATAATGCAACCGATTTTCCAGCAATATCATGAGATGTTCTAAATGGCACACCCTGAATGTGAAAGAAAAAGGGTAAGAATAAGGGGCAAATTTGCACAACTAAGAAAGGAGAAAAGGGAAGACAATTCAAAAGAAAAAGTTCTTAATAGGAGAGAAAGAAACATATAATATAGTTGGAACATAAAGGCTAACGGCAACGACCAATGAGTCCAGAAATATTATGATATAAAAGGCTTTATGTCTTGACAGTTCACTATGACCAGTTTAAAATGCAACATGTCTATATTTCTGTCATGCCAAAGGACTTGCCCCATTCGGAGAATGAGAGGGGCACAAGGACCTATGACAGAATCCTGTAAAGATGGAGGTAGCGATGCATGTTTTGGCACCTAATCCGAAAAACTGGACAGGTTGGTAATAGATGCCTGGACTTTGACAACTGAGTACTGACCATAATTAACATAGAAACAATCATGAAGTCGATATTTAATTCAGTGTTGGAAATATGGTAAGATCTAAACTTGGTAAACATTCGTCTCCTTCATTCAACTGGTTCTTAGGGATGATGAGGAGGTAACATAATTGATTTTGTTTTCTGTTGAAACAGTAACAAATTAACATCAGGTCAAATGGACTAGGGATTTGAGATGGGTTCAAATCTGAATTTTGACAATGACATGCAGCTCATGAAAAGGGTCAAGGAAGAAATACAAGCACAATCATCTGAAGAAGCTAAAGCAGCATACGAAAGGGTTAAGGAAGCTCATGAAAAGTTTTAAACTCTTAAAGAGACCAATCTATTTCTAAACATTCCAGTCAACAAGACCAAGGAACAGAACCAAAAGGCTTAGAGGAAGAGATGGCTAGCTTGGAAGAAGAGATGCATGCGCATGATGTGGGGCTGTTGCAAGACATGATTAAGGAAAACCTTTAGGAAGATTCTGGTAACTCCCTCACTATGACAGAAATAGCAGAGAAGATTGATGAGTTTGTAAGTAAGTTTGTTACCCTGGAGACAGCGGTCTCCTCTCAGACTGGGCTTGGTAAAGAAACAGAGATAAAAAAAACAGATGAACTCCAAAAAAATATACTAAGCTTGGAAGAGGACAAGAAGGAAATACTGATAGAAGATTCAGAAGAGACCAAAGAGAAGCTGAAAGAACTGGAAAAGGAGTTGAGGAGAGTTAAAATTATTGATAGTGTCAAAAGGCAAGAAAGCAGTGTCCAAAGACACTTTAATGAAGCCAGTTGTAAACTTGAAAGTCTTTCAGGAAAATTGAATAATGTGAAGCTAGATGAGGGGGAGAACTTTCTACTTAACGGAAACAGAAGTGAGCAAGACAGAAAACTAAAAGAGGAGACTGAAAAAAGGCAGCTGATAAATTGCCTACTGATGACTTAGCAATAAAAGAGGAGTCTGAAAAAACAGGTGATAATTTGCCTACTGATGACTTAGCAATCTAGAATGATGTCAAGACAACAAAGGAGGAGAAGGAAGATTATGCTGCAAATCTCAGTGATATCAGAAATGAAGATGGCGAGTCCCATTTGAAGGAAGTATTGATGTTAGGACTGAAGGGATTCCAGAGCTAAAGATGCAGGATAAAAGTGATTAGTCTGAGGCAAGGAGTAATCTTCACACTGAATCACTTGATCAGGGGACTGGTGAAGAAGAAGATCAACCTAACAGGAGGCAGATTTTGTGAGTGGATTTGATGACCGAGAAAAGCTTTCGTTGGAGGAGGACACATCAGTTTCAAAGAACTATAAGGATGAAAGTGTCAAGCTCAATGAGTGGAGAAGAAAAATTTGGATAGTATTTCTGAGTGGACACCTCAGGTAAACAAAAATCATCTATCTATTTTACAATGTGGGCCAGTAAAATTAATGAGTAATTAGATAAACATTCAAGTTTATAATAAACGTCATTGTTAACAATGTAAAGTTAAATTGAAAGAGAATTTAACTAATTTGATACACGGATGTACTTTTAAGATGTACTTTTAAGAGAATGCTTATACAGAGTAGGACTTACCTTCTTCACAAGATAATCAGCGAGTGTAGTTGCATCAAGATGACCGGCAGGTAATGCCTTTTGTATTCTTTCCCGATTAAAAGTAATTTTTAGTGCAAATTCTGCTGATACCTCAAGCATCCCCAAAATTGTCCTAACGCTGTCAAATACTGGCTCTTTATCTTCCTATTTCCAGAGAGGAACTTTTATTAATGAACCTCAGACAAATAGTGCAGAAAGAAAACAGATGAATGCAGGAACACATCATCAAGGAAAACATGCCAAGCAAGAAAAGTTAAACTTTGTTTTAATTCTTTAGTTACCTGCAAATCACGGTTGTAAGCATGGGGAAGTCCTTTGCACAATGTGAGGAGGGTAACCAGGTCTCCTATGACTCTGGCAGACTTCCCACGAACAAGTTCCATCGGATCTGGATTCTTCTTCTGAGGCATTATACTACTTCCAGTCGAAACGGAATCACTTGGCGTGATAAATCCAAATTCCTCCGAAGCCCACAATACCCATTCTTCACCAAGCCGAGAAAGATGCACTGCTGTGATGGCATTAGCAGAAAGAAACTCCAGTACAAAATCTCGGTCCGAAACTGCATCTATACTGTATAACACAATAACATAAAATCAATCAGCCAGAGAGATATACACCAAGATTCAACACGACTCACACAGGCACAACTACACAGATTGAATTCTCACAAATAAAACGGTGTCAAATACAAATACCTATTCCTCAAGGGAGCCGTAAATCCTAAAGCTTCTGAAGTCATGAATCGATCAATGGGGAGCCCTGTACCAGCCAAGGCACAAGCCCCCAAGGGGCAGAAATTCATCCTAGCTCTACAATCTATCAAACGCCCAGCATCGCGCTCAATCTGCAACACAACAATATTCACCGTCAAACAAATGAATGAGTTTAAAATCTCAACTCCATCCTTTTTAAGTGAATAAGTACATACTTTTAACCAACAACAACAATAATACCATAATAGAAATTGTTGAACGGTACAAATTCTTTCGAAAAAAATGTTATGAATGACATGGTTTCATTTTTGCATCAATACTTAATTTTGTTTTATTATTTAACTTGCTAATCAACCGATTAAACATCATCGAACGTGTATTCATCATACGCATTCGTACTGAAAAAAATCATACTAAATATAACTGCTCTATCATAATACTAAGCACGTCCTCAAGCAATTTAAAAACACCACCATTCAATTCTTGAATTCTCATCCTAATATCAACATTAACACACTTCAAACTTTGAAAGACACATAAACTTAATCAACCACAATTAAACAATTTTTCATCAAACCTCTTCAACATAAGCCAACAGAAGATGCTGAAGCAAAACCGGTTGTGCGCGCTGCAAGTGAGTATAACCAGGAACAATGAGACCGTCGTTGTTGAGAGCCAAAGTGACGAGCGAGACCTGAAGGTGCTTCATGCGTACGAGAATCTTATCAATCGCATCGCGACACCAAAGGCGAAAATCAGTTAAAACTTGATCGTTTCGACTCCGAGCGGTGTGAAGCTTCTTGGCAGGTTCACCGATCAAGTCGATAAGCGCAGCTTCAATGTTCATGTGCACATCTTCTCTATCAGTTCTCCAATTAAATTCGCCATTCTCAATGCGCTTCTCTATTTCATCCAAACCTTGGAGAATAGAATCTTTATCAGCGACGGTTATCAAACCCTACATCCATAAGAATGAGTATTGAGTAGAGTGAATGGATTTGAGAAAAAAAAAAGAAAAAAAGGAACGGAATAGGAACCTGATGAGCGAGCATTGAAGCGTGCGCTCTGCTTCCCATTATGTCATGCTTGTAGAGCTCCTTGTCGAAGGAGATCGACTCCGTGAACCTCTCCACGGCGTCGGTCACCCCCTCCTCAAACCTCCCACCCCAGAGTTTGGCCTCCTTGGGCTGGGTTTGGGCTTGGGCTTGGGCTTGGGCTTGGGCTTGGAATGCTTCCATTTTAGTGGTGATCATACGCGGAGGAAATGCGAAGCGGCGTGAAGTTCTGGAAAGGGAGAAGGATTGGGGTGCTGCAATGAAGCTTGAAGAGAGGGTACTTGCTGATACCATTGCTGATTTCATTCAGGGGTTTGTTTTCGCAAGCGTGCGTGAGTGAGTGAGTGGTTGTGCGTGCCTCTTAAAACTTGATGCGTTACGTGATGTGTTACCTCCAAAAGTATAGCATTACAATTTTTATTGTGGTTATTTAACCTCTAATATTGGTATAACTGCCTGTTGATATCTAATAAAAAAAACCTTATTTTTAAATTTATTTACATCTAATAAAATAGAATATTCATTATTAATATGAAAGACGTATACTGTTATACTTCATACTTCTTAAAAAAATATAATTTTATCATTATTAAATAATAATGTATTTTGATTTCTTTTATTTAAACTTAAAAACTCTCCTGTAATATATACAAGAGACTTATAAATTTAATATAAATTAACGTAAAACTTTTCGAAGTTGACAATTGAATACTTTTTTCTCCAAAATATATTAATATAAAATATAAAGATGATATGTAGTTTGACGTTTTGGCAAAGTAGTTCAATAAAACTTTTTAAACTTTGTCAATGAAAGAGGTATCAAGCATTGAAAAGAAGAAATTAATTTACACCGATATAAGTTCTATTAATTTGCATGGTTAATAATTTATATATTAAATATAAATAGTCAATCTTATTTTAAAAATATAATTATATATTATTTACATTAAATTTTATTAAAATTAAATAATTATAAAAATATAATAAAATGTTATTGTTTTTTCTGATTTTTGAAATAAAAGTTATTTTGATGAAAAGGTAAAATAGTTTAATTATTCTATTATTTTGATTTTATAATAAATAATTAACAAATGTTTTTTTTACAAGTCTAAGAAAGTGTTAGTAGAAGACTCTATTTTCAGGATGAATGATTCATCAAAGAAGCTTCAAAAATTGCTTCTGTGATAGTACATGGATAATGTTCAAAGGAGTTGTGGTTGTTGTTCATAGACTACTTTGTGGTAGCTTATACAAAACTTAAGTAAAGATCAATTTAGAAAGTATATATGTAGTAGAGCAAGAGTCTGAGGATCTGTGGCACCAAAGATTTGATCACATGAGTAAGAAAGATTCGTCAACCTTGATGAAGAAGAAATTGATCACTATTAAGGATAAATCAAGTCATCCTTGTAATCATTGTTTGTATGATAAACAACAAAGAATTTGTTTTAACTCCTCATCAATACGTAAATTAGAGTTACTAAATCTAGTTCATCTGATGTATATGGTCCCTTGGAAGTGGAATCATTAGGTAGTAACAAGTATTTTCTAATATTTATTGATGATGCTTCTAAAAAGGTTTAGATGTATTTTTTAAGAACCAAAGATCAAGTACTAGAACTTTTTAAGCAGATTCATGCCATGATAAAATGTAAAATAGGAAAGAAGTTAATGTGTCTTTGTTCAAACAATGGATAAGAGAATATACTTCCAAGGAGTTCAATGCCTATTGCAAGAAATATGACATTCGGCATAAGAAGACAATACTATGTACACCTCAACACAACAGTGTAGCGGAAAGGTTGAATTAAACTATTATGGAGAGAGTTAAAAGTATGCTTAGAATGCGAAAGTTGTTCAAGACATTCTAGGGAGAAGTTGTTCGCATTGTATGTTACTTTTTAAATAAATCACCCTTAATTCCTTTGAACTTTGATATTTCAAAGAATGTATGGTTTAGAAAAGACCCTTTATATTCACATTTGAAAGTGTTTGGGTGTTTGACATTTGCACATGTATCTAAAGAACGAAGGCAAAAACTTGATGCAAAAACCATGCTATGTATCTTCATTGATTATGGAGATGAAGAGTTTGGATACCAATAATGAGGCTAAAGGAGATGAATGTGTTCAGAAGTAGAGATGAGTTATTTCAAGAAAACCAAACATATGAAGACCTAGAAAAACCTACAGTGACTAAAGGTCTAATTATTAAAGATATTGTTCCAAATTCAGTACTTATTATCATAGAGAATGCAGAGGTGCATGAGGACATGCCTGAAGCTCTACAAGAGTATACAGAGGAGGTTATTGAGCCAAGAGAGCTTCAGTAACCAAAAGAAGAAAGACTAGAAAATGAAGCGCCACTAGAACCAAATAAGGCTTAGTTATGGAGGTCAGACAAAGGCAGATTCCATCAAAAAAGTATTTGGAGTCACGGTATATTCTTCTCACTGAAGAGGAGGAGCCAAAAGGATTTTAAGAAGTATTATCTCATTTAGATAAGAAGAAATGGTTACGAGCTATGCAAGATAAGATAATTTTTTTACAGAAGAATCAAACATATGACTTAATTGAGATCCTTGAAAGAAATAAGGAGCTAAGGAATAAATAGGTGTTCAAGATCAAGAAAGATAGCAATGGAAAGGTCATGAAGCACAAGGTGTGACTAGTAGTTAAAGGATTCTTCCAAAAGAAAAGGTTATACATATGTTGACATGGCTAGAGATCTTGATGGTAGGAAATCTACATTAGGATACATATACACTTTTTTAGGGGGAGCCTTATGTTGACAATAAAGGTTGCAAAAGTACGTTGCTTTATTCACAACAGAGGCAAAGTATATAGTAGCAACTGAAGCTGGGAAAGAAATGTTGTGGTTGAAGTGTTTTCTCTAAGACTTTGGGATCAAACAAAATGAATGCATGATATATTGTGATAGTCAAAGTGCTTTGGACTTGAGTAAAAATTCAATGTATCATTCTTGCACAAAACACATTGATGTTTGCTATAATTGGATATGTGACATGATGGATTTAAGTTTAGTGAAGATTCACATGGATAAGAATGCAGCAAATATGCTTACCAAGGTAGTCGCTAAAGAAAAGTTTGAACTATGTAAAGACATCATTGGAATGGACATTAAATAATGACTTCCTATATGTAGCTGGAAGGGGAGAATTGTTGAGTTGTCCCGCTATAATTCCTTTGATCGCTTCAAATTATTATTTGTAGTTTTGGTCAAATTTAGCAAATAAAATGATGTCGTGCATAGTTAGAGATGGAAATAGGCTAAGCTATCCGACAAGGGTCTATGACCTAACTTTTTTAAAGCCTAGCCTGGCCTAGCCTATTTAATTAATAGGCTTAATTTAAAATTTTTAAAAAGCTTAATTCATTAAATAGGTTAGACTTAAGCTTAAGAAAAAACTTATTAGACCTATTAGAATGACCTATTTAAAATTTATAAAATTTATAATAATATATTAAATAATTATATATAAAAATAATTAATAATATATTAAATCAATTAAATTTTAAATCAAATTTTAAAATAATAAAATTTTAAATTAAAAATAATTTTTTTGTTAAAGTTGATGAATGTCTTTACTACATACCCTTTAAAAGAAAGAGCCCTATTGAATGTCTCAATATGACATACCTATTTAGATAGTTTAATAGTTAATTTATACGGAAGCTTAATGACTTAATGAATGTTTCAATACGAAATTGGTCATAAAAAAGGCTAATGGTCAAATTAGACTTTTAAAAAGGCCAATTTAGATTTAATAAAAAGCCTATGATAGATAATAAGTTATGCTTAGACTTCAAAATTATTAAATAAGCCAAGTTTATATATGCAAAGTCTAGCCTATTTTCATCCCTATGCATAATGCTTGTAATTCCTCTTTACATGGATGTTTTATGTGAAGGAAAATGTGCACGAGTACTTATAAATGGAGCAATTTTTATTTCTTTTGATGGGGAATGGAGTAGAACAACAATAAACACAATAAAAAAAAAGTTGTATGTTATATAGAAGGGTAGTGTGATATTTAAGAGTTTTGTAATAATCTTTTATTAATGAAGTTGATTGTTTTCTCTTACTTTTATTTGTGTTATTATTCCATTATCCCAGCACAAAATATTAGAGGTTTCACCTTTGCATATTTAAGTAATGCAATACAATTTAAATTAATTGAATATTGTATCTTTTACGGATCTTATACAAAAAAATTGATGCTTTTTTTATGCTTACAAACAATACAATACTTGAAGTATAATACAATACTTTTATGATATTGTTTGAATTACTTATTATTTTTCACTTTGATAATTACATCAATTTTTTCAATACTAACCACTATTGATGAAAGATTTCTTTAAACTTATATTTAAAAAAAAATTCAATATCATCAATTGGTCTAATCAATGCAAGTTTATAAAAAATTTTAATCGATCAATTGATTCTTCCGGATGACCATTCCATTCTTCAAATACAATTTGAAAAGTAGTTCATACATACATATATATATATATATATATTAATTTCAAAAAAATTTTAGTATTTTTTTATTCTAAGTTACTATGTAAATTAAATGATAAATGAATTCCAATCATATGCATAAATATATATGGGTAAATTCCTCACACTTTACTAATTAAGCCAGAACATTAACTTGAGAATATTAAGACTGTATAGTTTATGGTATTTGCTTATTTGCTAAAAACAATAGTTGGTGTTGAAACTTGAAAGCTTAAGTTGTTTCATATAATTCTTAAGCAAATCTATATGTATGTAGAAAAGCAAAACAACATATTACCTGTCAATTAAAGATATATGTATAGATATAATAAAAGAAAACAAACAAAAACCTTATTCAATTAGCCATAGAAACATTGTCAACTTCTTTAGCTATACCATTTTAATTACCATTACCACATAAATATCATTTGTTTTCTCATCCATCCATCTAAAGTAAGAATGTCTAAAAATTTTCTTGAACAATAAGAATCCAATAACTCTTTAGAAACTAGTTGCAAAGCCAACTATTATGACAGAAGAATCATATTCTTTCTACCTTATCTTTGTTGCCATCCTCAATTGCATTACCTTTTATTTTAGAGACTATATTCAAATCATTACTAGGATACTTTTTGAAGTGGAGATTCATAAAGATACAAGCTACCACTATATATAGATGAGTCATCCAAAGTTAAAAATTGATTATCTTTGGGAATAGGTCCTAAAAGGTTATTGTGTGACAAGTTTAAATGACCGAGTGAATTTAAAGCAGACATGTTATTTGGAATTATGTCTTAAAGTAAGTTATAT